GGGGGGGGGGGGCATCAACATCAACGGCGCTTGACCTTGATGGTTGGCAGCTTAAAGTCGGCGCCGGGCGCCGAGGCGAGGTCGAGGCCGGCCGAGAGGTCGAGATCGAGCGAAAAGGCCTTGTGGCGGTCAGCGATCGAGTCGGCAAGGACCGAGGTCGGTGGCTGGGGCTTGGCGGCGGCGGCCGAGGTGGGCGAGGAAGCTCTGGCGGCGGCGGCGGCGGCAGCGGCGGCGGCGGGCGAGCCCGGGGTCTGGGCGTCGGACAAGCCTTCTGCAGTCTGCGAGACGCGCCACATGACCGAGGGCACGGTGTCCTGGCGGGCAAACGGGTTGAGCTTCTTGGAGTTTGCGGCGGCATTCTGCTCGTTGAGTCGCTTGCGGAGCTTGAGGGCCTGGAAGTTGGCCTCGCGGGCGGCGTTGTTGATGGCGGAAATGTGGGCCTGGTTCCGCTTGCGGTCCTGGTACTTCTTGAGCTTGGCCTCGCCGAGCTCCTTGATGCGGACTTGGAGCTCGTTGTGGCGGGCGATGTCGCCGTGCTCCTTAGCCTCGTCGGCCTCCAGCAAAAGCTGGGCCTTTTCGATGCCCATGGGGCGGTTGATGCCGGCGTTGCGCTTGGCAATGGTCATGGCAGCAATCTCGGCGTCCGAGTGGATGTAGTTGGCAGCGGCGTTGAGCGCGTTTCGCTTCATACGGATGTCAAAGACGACCGGGAATAGGTTGTTCGACCGCGACTGCTCCGAGGCCCAGAAGCCAAACTCGGACTCGGTAAAGGGCTGGTTGGATACAAAGGCCATCGACCGCGGCTTGTCGCCGCGCGAGGTGCGGAGCAGGAGCTGCCGCCGCGTTGTGTAGTGCCCGAGCGAGTATTCGGCAACGCTGGTGTCGGTGCCATCGGTCACACCCACCACCTCGTACATCTTGTAGCCCGGCGCGCTGCCCGAGCTGGCGACCATGAGCCGGACGTAGGCGCCGACGACAGCGTCGGCAAAAAACGGCTCAAACAGCCACTTTTCCAGATGCGAACGCTTGAGCCGGACCGACTCGCAGTCGGCACGCCCGGCCGGGAACCCACGCGGGTCGTCCGGCGCCTCAAAGGTCTTCTCCCACGCCGTCTGCATCCGCACTCCGGACCGCGGGTCGTAGTCGCCCTCGTTGAGCCACCGCGAGGCCTCGACGCGCTCGGCCTCGCGCCGCGACGCAAGGTCCGCCTCAATGTCCATCGCCCGCCGCCCGGCATACCCAGACTCATCGTAGTCTGGGTCGCCGTCGTCGTCGTCGACGTCTGACACGTCGTCGACCTCGTAGTCACCGTCGTCGTCGTCGTCGCCGCCAATGTCGAGCCGCGCCTTGCGCGCAGCTCGCTCCTTGGCCCTCTTCTGTGCCGCCAACGCGTCCATTCGCTCTTTGCGCGAGAGCCGCGAGCCGCTGCCAATTGCGCCCTCACCGCTCGCGCCCGCGTCGCCGGCCGCGCGCGCCGCCGCCGCCTTGGCCGCCTGTGCCGCCTGCCACTTGCGCAGCCGGCCCTCGTACAATCGCTGCTGCTGGGCGCGCCGCTCACGCCGCTCTGCAATGATCTCCTCACGCTGCAGCTCAGACATGGCTGCCAGCTGCGCCCGATCCGCTGCGTCGCCATAAAGCTCGCCGTCAAAGCCGTCGTTGGGCGGCTGCGGCGGACCATCATCGAGACCGCCACCACCATTGTCGTCTTCATCATCGTCATCATCCCCACCGAGGTCCATCTCATCATCAGAGCCAAACAGATCCTCGACATCAGCATCATCATCATCGTCGTCGTCGTCAACTGCAGCAGCAATATGCGCGCCATCCTCGTCGGCACTAGCTGCACCCGTACCAGCACCCGACCCGCTCTCGTCGGCACCGCCCATAGTAGTTGCCGCCAGAATCCGCTGCTTGGCCGGGTGGAGGGCCTTCTTCCGCTTCTGCGACAGGGAGGCGGGCGGTGAGTCATAGAGATTGGGGGGGGGGGGAGGGAAGAGGGAAGGGGAGGGGGGGGGGGAGAGGCGGAAGTGGAGGTAGCCGGGTCGTACAGTCTCGCTGGGGTTGTCTGTCGGGTCCTCCAGGTCGCGTTTGAGGTTGGACATGGTGGGTGGGTCGGTGGAGAGGGTGGAGAAGGAGGTGAAGGTAGAGAGTGGGCTTTGGTGGAGAGGGGTAAAGTGAAGGTGAGGTAGAAGGGGGGTGGGGTGGAGGGGTGGGGGGGTGGGGGGGGGGGGGGGGTGGAGAACGGGGTGGTCATCGTGTAGTGATCGGGCGGGGTAGTGATCGGGCGGGGTGGTGATCGATCGGGGTTGGTGATCGGGCGGGGTGGTTGACATCTGGAGGAGGGGAGGTAGGAAAGAGATGAGCGGATAAGAAGGTGGTGGGTTGATGGGATGGCAGAGGTTGGGGGGGGGGGAGGGGAGGGGGGAGGACGGGAGGGGAGCGGGAGGATGGTGCAAGTGGAGGAAGGGCTTGGCGCCAAGGCAAGAGGGAGGAGCAGCAGCACGGGTCATTCGACAATGACATTGACATTGGCATAGTTGACTTGTGCAACTGGTAGCCGGCAGAACACCACCTTGCTCTCCCCCCCCCCTCCGCCCCGCCCTGTGCATTGGTAGACCAAGGTTTACATCCGCTAGCTCTCCATCTCTCTTCCTCTCTTCTTCTCCCCCTCTCTCTCTCCTCGTTGCTCTGTGCTTGAATGGCCATACGCCCGGCATTCGCATCCTCCAACGTGTCGTCCATTTCGTCACGTTCTCGATCACGAAGGCCAAACAAGAGCACAAGAACCTCGCTGCGAAGAACCACCACATCCGTTTTAGAGGCTACAAGTAGGCTCTCTGTGGCGCCCCTTGGCTGCTGAGGTGCCTCATCTCATTTTCGCTACTCTAATCGCCGCAGATCGCCGTCCAGAGCCCTGCAAAGCCACCCGCTTGCCGCCGACTCTCGATGACCACTTTAAGAACGCCGCCAAGTCGTGCCCCTACCGCCGCCGGTGCCGGGCCTGCCGCTGCTGCTGCGCCTTCCGCCACGGAACAGGTTGCCGATGCAACATCTGATGATGAAGCATCGACAAGATTAAGCTCACGCCCGTCATCGGCTTTAGCGCCAGCGCCGTCGCTGGCGGTGGCGAGACAGCGGCTGGTGTGCGGCCATGTCGGATGCGAGTTCAGCTGCGAGAGCAAGGCTCGACTCAACTCGCACCAGCGGGCGTTCAACTCGCACACGGAGCACTTTGATGGGCACAAGGAGTCGTGCGCGCTCTGCCTCGCCATGCTCGAGTGTGGCGAGTGGACAGACTTGAGCGTGTACGAGGAGCGGTACACCAGCTGGGATCCGCGCCCACTTAGCGTGGTGGTTGAGCCGACGGCTCGTGCCGAGCGCACGCCGCGGTCAGCGCCGCCGTCGGCAGGCACCAGCGCGAGCCTCGCCGCGACGCCGCCGCCTGGGGCGGCACGACCTGCCTCGGCCTCGCCGCGTCGGTTTGCGTCGGAACTGTGGGCGGCTACGGCTCCTGAGCGCCGCTCGCCGCAGGGCTCAGCCTCGCCGACCGCGCCGGCGTCCCCGCCACCGACACTCGCTGAAGGCTCGGCCTCGGGATCGAGCTCGGGCTCTGGCTCGGCCTCGGGCGACGGATCGATCGACTTTTTCCAGTGCTCGCATGACGGATGCCGCTGGCGGTCGCGGGCGCAGGGCGACAACGACAAGCGGGCGTCGGTGGCCAAGCACGAAAAGTCGGTTGTCAAGCACCGAAGCCACTTTGAGGAGTGCGCCGCCGAGTGCCTCTGCTGCCAGACCCTGCTCCAGACCGGCGTCTGGCGGGTCATCGACGGCGCGCTCCTCGACGTCACACTCCGCAAGCACCGCAGCCTGGTCGACGCCGTCGATGCCGGACGGGGTGCCAAGCGGGCCAAACTGCTGTCGGGAGCAGCGGGAGGCGTTGGCCAAGAGCTGCAGCCACGGCAGCTTGCCTGAGTGGCCTGTCGGCAAGAGGCAAAACGGAGGCAAGCGCTTTACATGCGGATGGAGGCCAGGAGCGAGTGGTAGAGCTTCTGGTAAAGCCACGACTCACCCGAGATGCGCTTAAAGTTGATGCAGTGCAACTCAAGGCGCGGGAGGCGGAGGATTTCGACCTCAAAGGTGATGTCGCCGGCGGTACAGCGCATGAGGTAATCACGCTCGATAAACTGGATGGAGCGTGAGAAGAGCGCGGCCTGTACCTCAAGGAGGAGAACGTCGGCGTCGCGCGACGAGACATTGCGCGAGGCAAAGGTGACGCGGACGGTGCGCGGCGGTCGCTTGGCGGGCGTCGATGACGACGCGGCGCCGGCGCCCGAGCTCGACGCGCCAGCTCCGCGGGATTGGCGGTTGGCAAGGTCCTGGTCATACTGCGCAAGTGTCGAGTCGGCATGCGAGTCGGGGACAGCAACGGAGATGCGGCGCCGCACACCGCGGACGTTGACCGACGGGTCAACAACAAGCGGCGCCGGCTTGGACGATGCTGGCGCACCGCCCGCCGCAACGGCCGCCTGGCCGCCCGCGACGCCGCCACGCGACGCCGCAAGCATGTCGGTCAGCTGCTGGGCCGAGACCGCCAGCCGGTCGCCGGCCATCTTGATGTCGCCGCCGAGCGAGAGCGAGGTGCGCCGGCGCCGACCGCGGCCGCGCGGGTCGTTGACTGGCGGCAGCGGTGACGTTGTCCGCGTGTCCGATGCGCGTGACGACCGGGCAGAGAGCGCCGGCGACGCAAAGCGGCTGCCGGCGCCCGACGCAATGTCGGCAGTGCCAAAGCCAACGCCGGCCGAGAACGCCGGTGCATTGGAGAGCCGTGGCGCGTCCGGCGACGAAAAGTCACGTGGATAGTCCAAGTGTGAGCCGTCGAGCGACGACTCGTCGAGCGACGAGATGTCGGTGACGTACACGCCGTGCATGGGCTTGAGCTCCTCGGCAAGCACGTACTCGGTCGACGACGAACCAGCGCCAGACTCAGAACCACCACGTGACGAGCGGTACGTCACCGAGCCAGCTGGAACCGATGGGAGTCCGCGCGGCGAGTCATGGCCGGACGCACCAAACCTCGACAGATGTGAAATCTCCATCTCGGTTCCTTCAACCAGGGCTGGGAACGGCTCAACCCGCGGCCTTCCCATGCGCGAAAGCGATCGCTGCGGCGACGATGATACTGACCGGTCTGGTCGCGGCGAGAGCGAGAGTCCACGCGGTGAGGCGCAGCTCGAGTCAAGCGAGTTGCGTGACGACCGCCGCGACCGCGGTGTCCGTGGCGTTCGTGGTGTCCGCGACGTGGCACTTGCGTCGCGCCGCAGCCTGTCTTTCTCCTTTTCCTTGCGCGCTGTCCGCGGCGTCTGCGGCGCTCTGTCCTTGGCCTTGTCCTTGTCCTTGTCTTTGTCCTTGGCCTTGTCCTTGGCCTTGTCCTTGTCCTTGGCCTTGGCCTTGCCCTTGCTCTTGCCCTTGCCCTTGCCCTTGCCCTTGTCCTTGTACTTGGCCTTGGATTTGTCCTTGTCCTTGTCCTTGCGCGACCTGCGGGCCGAGTCTGGAGCGTCGTCGTCCGAGCTAGCGCCGCCGAGCGCGTGCTTTGAATCCGAGGGGAAGAGGCATGACGAGGAGAGAGCCGGGACGAGCGACTCGCCTTCGACTTGGCCGGTTGACTCGAAGCGGGCGCGGAGCTCGAGATACTCGTCGTTGTCGTGGGCGCGACGGTGGAAGATCTTGTGGTAGAGGGTCTTGATGTGCGCCGCCGGCTCGACGTCTGGAGTGATGATAAAGCCCATGGCCTTGAGCTCCGAGACAGCGTAGTCGTGGAACTGTGGGAATGACGGGGCGAGGGCGTCGATGGTCGGGTCAAAGACAAACGGCTTGACCGGCGGCAGCGGGCCAGAGTCGAGGAGAACCCACGCGGAGGAGCGGACGTAGGAGAGGGTGGCGCGATCGCGGCGTTCGAGGGTGAGCATCCGGTCCAGGAGCGCAAACGATTCGGCCGTGAGCTTGGACGAGTTGCGGAAGCGCTTGCCCTCGCGGAAGGCGCCGCGGAGTTCCGACGCGTTGTTCTCGCGGTACGGCATGGCGCCAACAGCAAGCGCATAGAGAATGATGCCGAGCGACCAGATGTCGACCTCGGGTCCGTGGTACTTTTCGCCGAGCAGGATTTCAGGCGCAGCATAGTGCGGCGAGCCGCACGAGGTCTGCACGTACTGCACGGGACAGTAGCCGCGAGCAAAGCCAAAGTCGACGAGCTTGACATTAAAATTCTCGTCGAGCAGAATGTTCTCGAGCTTGAGATCGCGGTGGACAAAGCCGGCAGTGTGGACGTACTCGACGGCCGAGATGAGCTGGCGGAAGAAGCGGCGGGCCTCGGCTTCCCGGACCCGGCCGTGCGTGAGCAGGTGCTGGAAGAGCTCGCCGTTCTCGCAGTACTCGGTGACGACAAAAGTGCCCTTGCCACGAACCTTGATGATCTCATAGACCTTGCAGATGTGCGGGTGGTCCATCATCTCGTGGATCCGCAGCTCGCGCTCAAACATGATCTTCTCTTTGGACGTCAGCTCCTTCTTGGTGAAAATCTTGACCGCCACCTTGCGGCCCGAGTTCTTGTCAATTGCTAGCTTGACCTTGCCATACTGGCCCTTGCCGATGGTCTTGAGCAATGTGTACGAGGTATCACGTCCAGGCAAGACCACTTCCTTTCTCCGCGATCCAGATGACATGGCTGCGCAAGCACTGTCAGGAGATTACCTAGTTGACCAGCTGTGCGTTCCTCGCGGGTGTGCGGGCGTGCGGGTGTGCGTGTGAGCAGAGTGCGGGTGCTGTTGCTCGGCCCAGTTGTTCGCAGCAGCCGCAAGTCCCCTTGTAGCAAGCGGGCGGTGACGAGCGAGCGGGTGAGGAGAAGGCAGTTGCTTGTGTGGTGAGAGAGCAAAGAAGATAGACCTGCCTTGCTTTGCGCCGCACTTGGAATAGCTGCACTGGGTCGGTCACAGGCGATGGTGTCGCCGTCGGCGGGCGAACGGTCGGGAGGAAGGAAACAACGACGGTGCGGAAGGCAGCGAGGAGAAGGCTGGCGACTGAGACAGATAGCGGTCCCAGCGTCCCTTGCAAGGCCACAACACGTGTCTTGTAAAGGAGGTCGACGTTGGCCAACAAGAAGTTCCGTCTCAAGGTTGTACCTTGCCGGTCCGAGCCGAGTGTGCAGAGCTCGTCCCTGCTGCCGAGAGAGAGCCGCTAAAGTGAGAAATTGGGTGTGACAGAACAAAATCCGGCTGGTGATGGTTTTTTGTATCAATTTTTACCAAAACGCCCCCATGCATGTCCATCTCTCTCCGGCTCCATCGGCGTCGGGCAAGCAGAGCAGAGCCAGCCGATGGATAGTGTTGATGCAGGTTATATTGATCTCGTGAGAGGGGAGCTCAAAGTAGCCGTAAGAGGTCGCAAGGTGAGTTCGGCGGAAGAAGAGGAGGGAGGTGGTGACATTCCGGGGTTGCGGTTTGACCAATCACGGAGCAATCAAGATGAGACGGAATCAAGCTGCTGGCCGAACACTTGATTCCAGCGTCATTGGAGAAGAAATCGCTTCCATCGACAGAATCACACAGATTTAGAAGCATGTCTGCCTTGAGAAAGCCTCGCAGCCGACGCACAGGAGCAGCTAGTCACGGAGAGGATGCTGGAGATGGGCGTAGAGGCCGGGGCCGAGGTCGGAACCGAGGTCGCAACCGGGGCCGGGGCCGGGGTCGACGCCGGGGTCGAGGCCAGGGTCAGGGCGGCGGCGGACGATCTGGAGGCGGAGACGGTGGACTGCCAGAGCTGGGACCGCTGCCGGATGGGGTCGCGTGGGAGAGCTGCGTGGGGATGGTGGACATTGGAGCGAACCTGGCGCACAAGAGCATGCGTGGGCGAGTGGAGGAGTTTGTGGCGCGGAGCGGGAGCAACGGCGTTGGCGCCATCATCATCACCGGCACGTCCGTGAAGGACTCAGAGACGGCGGCGGCGATGGCGGTCGAAGCGGAGGGAAGAGAGGCAGGCGTGGCGCTGGTGAGCACTGCTGGTGTTCATCCGCACGATGCAAAGCGGTGGGACGCGGCGACGGCAGCGAGAATCGAGGCTCTGCTCGCGGACGACCACGTGGTAGCGGTCGGTGAGTGTGGGCTCGACTACAACCGGATGTTCTCGACCAAGGACGAGCAGGTTACGGCGTTCCGCGCACAGCTCGAGATTGCGGCGCGGGTCGCCAAGCCGCTCTTTCTCCACGAGCGCGACGCATGGGAGCCGTTTGTGGAAATCCTCGCCGAGTACTGGCCGTCGCTCCCAGCCGGCGGCGTGGTTCACTGCTTCACCTCGCCGCCTGAGGCTCTTGCGGCGTACCTTGAGCTCGGGGCGTACATCGGCATCACCGGATGGGTGTGCGACGAGCGTCGTGGTGGGCCGCTCCGCGACCTGGTGGCCTCGATTCCGCTCGACCGCATCCTCATCGAGACCGACGCGCCGTTTCTCAAGCCGCGCGGCGTGGCGGCCATCCCAAGCCGCGGCCGCAACGAGCCCGCGTACCTCCCGTATGTCGCTGTCGCCGTCGCCGAGTGCATGGGCGTGACCGCCGAGGAGCTTGTGGCGGCGTCGACCGCAAACGCGGTACGGCTGTTTGGTGAGGCTGTGGCGCCGCGCTGAGCTCACGGCTGCGAGAGCAGGCCACGCTGCAGGAGAGCGTCAAAGACAAACTTGCCGATCCGCTCGTATCCGGCGGCTGTAAAGTGGATGCCTGCCCAGAAGAGCTCGGCATCGTGGCGCTTGAGTCCGTCAGCATCAAAGTAGGTGACGGCGTCGTCGAGCGAGAGGTAAATGACGTTGCCGTCGGTCGAGGCGGCCAGCTCGCTTTCCAGAAAGTGATTGACCTCGGCTCGCGCCGTTGCAAACGTCCCACCAAACTTGTGCATCTGATAGTGCTCGGGAATGCCGAGTGCGACCGTGGTGAGGATGCCTGCGGCGTGGCACTTGGCGTGGATCTGTGCGAGGTTGGCGTTAACATCAGCCGGCGGAATGCGGCGAGCGAGATCGTTGGTTCCTCCCAGGATGATGGCGATGTCGTAGACCGGAAGCCCGGCCATCTCCAGAGCCTCGTCGATACGGTGGGTCATGGCCTCGGTGATCTCGCCCGGCAGGCCCCACTCCTCAACCTTGACGCCATCGAGCCCGGCAGCTGCCGCTTCGGCCTCCACCGTCGCCGCATACGGCGTGTACTCTTGGAACGTCGTGCGATACCCGGCCGTCAGCGAGTCGCCAAAGGCCATGATTCGAACTTGCGGCGTCTTGTTGACCTTGCTCTCCGCCATGCCCATACACCACCTCGCGTCAAGTCGTGCATCGCGTCGTGCCAGCGCCTGTTTGGGCGGAGCGCATGACGAGCCCGCAGCGGCAATCATCGGCTATCCACACATCCGCTCCGCCAGCAATGGCTCAACATCATGATGCAGCGAGGCGCCACAGTGACATTGCACAGTTCATGGCCATGGTGATGGGAACAACCGGACCCGTGGCCCCGCACGATCTTGACAGCTTCGCCTACCGCTCACGATCGGGGCGCAGAAAGCTGTGGTGAACGATCACAAAGGCAAGGAATGGTGGTTGTGAGGTAGAGCGGGGGGAAAGGGGGGGGGGGGCGGAAGAGGATCGGTGACAAGAGCTGTCGGGGCTTAGAGACGTTTGACGGCGCTGCGACGAGAATCACTGATCAACGTTTTCCACAACTGCAGTGCGGTGACATAGTTGACATAAGGCGATCTTCTGGTAAAAGCAAGGCGATGAGGACTGTGTTTGCTGATCTGGTGGTGTAGCGGTGACGTAGGTACTGTTGGGTGCCATGGGCATGTAGGCAAGCTGCTGAGTCCAAGCATTGCTGGATGGCGATTGACTTGGGTGGTGACAGACCTTGATCTGGCGCGCATCCCGTATCGGCACAGACAGAGTTCGAGCCAAACTCGATCCGATCGACCGACGACGACGACGACGACGACAGCAACGACGACGACAGCGAGCCCACCGACGAGTTCGACATCTGCTTGTAAGTCACCACTCTACTCCACTCGTCCAGCATGGGATAACCCCCCCCCCCCTCCCCCCCCCTCCCCCCCACTCCAAGTACGTATGTCTGCTCTGACGGCTACTTGAGCAGCCGCAGCATCTCCGGCTAATCCGTCCCCCTCCCCCCCTCCCCCCCCCCCCCCAGCCCCCTCCTTCCCCTTGCCACACCTATGTCAGCGGATCTAGAGAGGCTCGACCTCGACCAACAACCTGGTATCTGTGTTACGTGTGTGGTAGAATAATGGAGGATAGCGGTAGTGGTGGGGATGTGGACAGAGTCGCTTGCTGTGGGTTTTCTGCAGCGCTAGACTCTGTTTGCGCCTCATCGCGTCGACCTTTTATTCGTCTCTCACTTTCTTCTCTCACTCTCTCTCTGTCTCTCTCTGTTGCTGTCTCTCTTTTGAGGACGGGAGAGAGGGGAGGAGGGAGGGGAGGGGGGAGATCGGGGGACGATGACGACACTCTGCCCTTTCCTCCTTCACTGGGGATGCAATGAGAGTAGGATGTTGCCCCGACCATGGCAATGTCCTTAGATTGCTACCCCACACTTCCTCTCTCCCCCACCCCCCACCCTCTCCCCCACCTTCCTCATCCTCTGCACTGGTTGTGACTCACAATGATGTTGCACATGCGGCCAGTGATGCATGCATCAGCTGCCGAGTGCCAACCGGCGCCCGACCTGGCGGCCAGCCACCGACCTGGCGGCCAGCCAATGAGCGGCCGACGAGGCCTACCCTCGAGCGGCCGACATGCCATCAGTCGGCCTCCGGATGCAGGGCACATCGCGCTTGAAACGCGATGCTGCCGACGCACAAGTTTAAAGCCAACCTCAAGCGTCTTCAGCCTCGACCGACTGCCCGAGCTCATCGTCCGAGTCGAGATACTCGCAGGCGGTGCCGGCCGAGGTGGTGTCGTCGCGGGCGATGCCAGCGACGGGAGCCGAGGCGTTGAGCGCCATGCCTTGGCCGTAGACGAGTGAATAGCCTTCCGAGTAGCCGTCGAGGAGCGAGGAGAGGTCTGCGGTCCGTGGGAGACCGTGCACCTCGGCGTAGGCCGGGGAAGCGGCGTCGGCCGAGTCGGGCGTACCAGTTTGATCGTCGGTGTCTGACGACGCGAGCGAGTCGTCAAAGACCGACGGTGGGGCCCACGCCGGTGCGGAGCACGCCACCCTGCGGGCTTGAGCCGAGAGGCCGAGGACGGCGTCGCGGAGCGCCGGGTCTGAAAGGTGCGGGAGACCGGCGCGGGCCTCGGCAGGCATGAGCGGGCGGCAGGCCATGTTGTGCGGCGAAAAGATGTTGGCGTCACCACGTGCGGCGGCGACGGCGGCAGCGTGGGTCGACGACGAGTCGTGCTGCGCCGACGGCGGCTGCTGGACCAAGTCGCGGAGGAGGCGGCGGCGAGAGTGGCCGCGCCGCCCACCCTTGGACGGCGAGCGCGAGCGCGAGCGCCGCGACGCGGTCAGCGACCGTTGTTGCTGCGTCGACGAGAGCGACGACACCGAGACGTTGGAGAGGTTCGAGTCGTGAGTGGCCAGCGCGCTCTCGGCCACAATGGTGCGTGAAAAGGAGCGAGAGCGCGAGTGCGAGAAGTTGAGCGAGGTCTTGCGCGCGGCGCGTGCGGCGGTTTCTGCTGCCGCGGCGGCGGCGGTCGCCATGCGTCGCGCGTGGGTCTTGGCGAGGAACACGTCCTTGTAGCGAAGCAGGAAGCGCTGCATGGTGTCGAGGGCAATGGCCGCGTCGGCCTCATCGAGCAGCATCTCACGCTGCGCCCGCTCCTCATACCGCAGCGAGTCAGGATCGACTGATCGCAGGATGAGGAGCTTGAGCAGAGCCGAGAACGAGAGCTGCCGCAGCTGCAGGGCCTGGTACTCGATCTTGCGGTAGTCCCAGCGGTGCGCGCGCGCGGTCGCCGAGAGGCCGAGCGGTGGACCGAGTGTGTACAGGAACGGCCGCAGCTGCGGGCGGGTGAGCAGGCCGGTTTGCTTGCGGTCGAACAAGGCCCAGATCCGTTTGTAGTGGTCTAGGGTCTTGGGCGCCACCACGTAGTTGGAGTGGGTCGAGGAGCAGTACGAGAAGTTCTCGAGGATGACGGCAATGAACATGTTGAGCATGACGTACGCACCGGCGACAAAGAACGAGATAAAGTACGCGTATGCAAGGACCGATCCGCAGTCGTCCTGCGGGCCGGCCGACGACGAGGTTACCGACAGCGCTGATGTGACTTTGAGCCGGGTGCAGAGCGGCGGCTGGATGGCGCAGTCGAGCATGATGCCCTGCCAGTCCTCGCCGGTCACCATCCGGAACAGCAGGAGGAGCGCCGAGCCGAACGACTCAAAGTTTGCGTTTGCGTTGAGGAACGCCCCGTGCCGGGTGGCGCCAAAGAGCTCCGAGCCGAGCGTGGCGTAGACAAACATGAGGACAAAGAAGAGCGAGGCCACGTTGAAGACGGCAGGCAACGCAGTGACCACGGTCTGGAACAGCGTGTGCAGCGAGGTCGAGTGCCGCACCAGCCGGAAGATGCGGGCGATGCGGAAGAATCGCCGCCCGGCGGCCGTAAAGAACAGCCGCGACGGCGCAGCGACCAGCACGAGCGAGCCGAGGACAAGAAAGCCGTCAAAGCAGTTCCAGTACGATCGCAGGTAGCCGCGAAGGCCAAAGGCAGTCACCTTGGCGAGCGCCTCGAGCGCAAACAGGATGGTGAAGACCAGGTTCGCCACAAACAGCACAAAGGTCCACGCCTCGCCTTGGTTGTGCTGCTCAGACATCATAAACGTCATGTTCACCACAATGGCCGAGGCAACCACATGCTCAAACGCCCGCGAGGTCACGGCCTCGTACAGCCGCGACCGCCACACCGGCCGGTGCGGCGCAGGCGGGACCGTGGACGGCCGCAGCAGGCGGATGGCCGTTTGCGCATCGAGCCACGACCGCTGCCGGTCGGTCAGCAGCGCGCGGCCGTTGTACTTGCTGAAGTTGTTGATGATGACCGAGACAAACAAGTTGAGCATGAAGAACGAGCCAAGAAAGACAAAGGCCACAAAGTAGAGCGCGTTTGCCGCCGACGCGTTGGTGGCAGGCTGGACGCCCTTGGCCGTCACGTCCATGCCGTCGTACATGACGTCCCACCAGCCCTCGAGCGAGGCCACGGAAAAGAGGGTGACAAAGGCAGCACCGATGTGGTCAAAGTTGAGCCGCGCCACCCGCCACGCCCGTGGCCGGAGCACGCCATCGTCGGGCGAGACAAAGCTCCCGACGCATGCGCCTGATACGGCCACGCTCGTGTCGTTGCACGACGCAAATTTGCCGGCAAACAGGTCGATGCCGAGGACGCCAAAGACGACAAAAAGCCAAACATGAGCAGGCACACGTTGAGAATGTCCCACCGCGACTGGAAGAGCGACCGCAGGATCCGCCGCATGCCCGCAGACCGTGACACAATCCGTAGCGGCCGCAGCGCCCGAAAGTACCGCACCAGCCGTACGTACGCAAACCGCGCTGTCGCAAGGTGCACCCCGCCCGCAATGAGCAGCACGAGATCGAGCCGGTTATAGCCCGACGCCAGGTACGCGTGCGGGGTAAAGAACAGGCCGTGGACCGTGACGGCAGCAGAGGCCTGGAGCGCAAAGAGGGTAAAAAAGACGACGTCAGCAATGTAAAAGGCAAAGGCCGGGCCGTCCTCGGACCGGTTGCGCACGTTCTCGAGCGAGAGCGCGAGCGACGACGCCAGAATGAGGCCTACTTCGCAGAGCCAGAACCCGCGCGAGGCCAGCAGCCGCCCCAGCGCCGCTCGGACCTTGGACGACGGGCCGAGGCAGCCGAGCGAGACGTTGTACCGCGGGTGGTCCTCAAAGAACTGCTCCTCGGCCAGCCGCTGCCGCGCCGACGCGTGCGTGTTGGTCAGCGGGACCGAGGCCGACGCTGCAAGTACCGAGCCGACGGCGGCCCGCGACGACGACGGGTCACGGGAGACCGGCGCCGCCAGCCACGCTGCCAGTCGGCCGAGCCATGTGCGCGGGCGTGCTGCGGCGGACCGTGGCGTCGCCGCTTCACTGCTTGTCGGCGCCCGTGCCGCAATCGACCGCACATGTGCGTCGACGTCGGCGTGCGGCCGCGGCTTGGGCAGCGGCGCAGGGTGCAGAAAGTCGTCGATCGGCGCGGCGCGGAAGGCCGGTGTCATGGTTTCGGGCAGATGCGGGACCCGAAGCATGCGCGGGTTCGGCGGGAGCAGCCGGTACACGTTCCGCCGCGACGCCAGCGGCGTCGGCTTGGGCTGCAAGTCGGCAAAGTACAGCTCGAGCTGCGCCCGCTTCTTGCCTAGCTCGGCCATCTCAAAGTTTTCCAGAATGACGGCCACAAAGAGGTTGAGGAGGACGTAGACGCCGAAAATGTAAAAGCCGATGAAGAAGAGCGGCGCAAACCAGCCGGCAGGCGAGAGGAGGCCGTTGAAGAGAAAGTACGGCCAAGCGTCGCCGGCAAGAATCATGAACATGGAGAGTAGCGCCCGCGGAAAGTTGTCAAAGTTGGCCCGGTCCGCCGGCGAGTCAAAGGTGTGCGCGTACAGCTGCATGCCAAGAATGCCGACCGTGACTAGCGAGAACGCCATAAAGGCCATGAGGTTGGCGATGCCGCGGAGCGAGCCGAGTACGCTCTTGAGGAGCGAGACCAACGAGGGAAGATTGACCAAGAGCCGCGTGATGCGTAGGACCCGAAAGACGCGCAGGAAAGAGAGGTTGCGGGTGATCCGGAGGAGCGAGAGCGTCGTCGCCACGACAATGAGCCCGTCAAAAACGTTCATCGGGTCGCGGCAGTAGTTGCGGATACCGCGCCGGCCGATGATCTTGAGCACCATCTCAACGGCAAAGACGATGGTAAAGACAAACTCGCAAACGTAGAGCGTGGTGGCGTAGCCCTCCGGCATGCCGTCGTGCGCCGACGCCATCAGCACCAAGTTGGCCAGAATGCAGCCGAAAATGAGCGCCTCAAACGACTTTGACGCAATGACGGCGTACGCTCGCGCGCCGAGCGCGCCCCAGCACGTTGACGTGTCAAACGCAGACTGAGCATAAAAGAGCTGGATGGAGCCGTCGTCCGAGTTGGTGAGGAAGAAGCGGGCAAAGGGAAGACCCGCGGCGCCCGAACCAAGCCGCGAGCCGCCCGAAAACGCAGACCGGTTCTCCTCCCGCCGCACTTGGCCAAACTTCTCGACAATGACTGCTACAAACAAGTTGACAACAAGGAACGAGAGGAAGATGATGAGCGAGATAAAGTAGAGCGCAGAGATGGCGTACTCGGACTGCATGATCGAGTACATGATCGAGGACCAGCCCTCGAGGGTCATGACAATGAACATGGTGAGGGTGGCGAGCCAGATGTTGTCAAACGAGACAAAGCCGTACGATGGGTTCTCTACCCGCGTGCACACCAGCGGCTCTGGGCACGTTGTGCCCTTGGATGTGCTGAACGAGCAAAAAAGCGGCGGAATGTCTGGCGGCAGCGTGTCCAGCGACGCACCCGGCGGGAGGCATCGGCGCGAGAGCGAGCCGCCAAACATCGAGATGCCCACAATGCCGTAGACCGAGAAGAAGAAGCCGAGAAAGAGAACCACATTGAGGAGGAGCGTCCACGACTTGCGGAGCGAGTCGAGAATCGTCCGGATGCCAGCAAAGAACTTGAGCGCACGCATCGGGCGCAAGGCTCGGAAGGCGCGAAAGGCTGAGAAGTTGACCGACGATGCGTCGGCAAAGGCGAGCCAGAAGGTGGCCACCACAAAGGCGTCGAGCACGTTCCACGGGTCGCGAAAGTACGATGTGTCGCGTCCGTGGTGCGAGACTCGCGCGTTGACGTCGTTGTTGAGCGCTGTGAGTCGGGCAATGAGTTCGCCCTCGTCCTCGAGCGAAGTTCCCAGCGACCGGATGTGCATGTTGTGGTGGACAGCGCGCGGCGCCGAGACGCTAAACAGGCCGTCACGCGACGCCGCCGCGTGCCGGGTCCTGGTCCTGCGGCCGCATGGCCGCAGCGGTGCCCGCGTCACCCCACCAAGCACCACAAGTCGTGCCAGCATCTCGATAGTGAAGACCAGCCCGATGGCCAAGTCGATGTAGTACGCCACTACTTCGAGCGTCGATGTCGACGACGGCGAGGCTCGCGTTGTCAGAGTGAGCGTCACCGTGTTGACGAGAATGCAGAAGAGAATGATGCGGTCGGTCCACGGCCAGTCGAGTGCCGCCGCCACGTTGCGTCGGAACCGCGAGGTCGGCGAGAAGCAGCAAAGCGCGTGGCCGACCAGCCGCCGGGCGCTCTTGCTCCGGCAAGCCTTGGCCTTGCTCCCGGCCTTCCGCGAGCCGTCGGGCGCGCGCGAAATCGAGGTATCGGCCTGTCCGAGGTCAAGGCTCTCATCGATGAGCCCGTCGCCTTGGCCGCCACCGCGTCCACCGCTTCCGCCGCTCTCGTCGCCACCGTATGCGTCGGTGTACTTGCCGGTCAACAGACGGCGCTCACGGAGGAGCGACGACGATGACGACGATGACGGGAGGGCAAGGACCGAGTCGGACGAGGTCGACGAGAACGACGAGACCCGCTCTACAGCAGAGACGGATGAGTCGAGCCAGCTCGACGCCGCCGCGTGAGAGGCAGTAAACCGCGAGGACGAGGTCGAGGTGAGCGACTCGTCCCGCAGGCCGCCAGTGACGAGCGGAACGTGGTCTGGAGAAGAGGTCGAGGAGGATGACGAGGCCCGAAGGTGGGCCAGGGGGAGGTCCATGGCCGCTGGCCGTACTCGTCGGATGGGGCTGTGGGTGGGTGGAGTGACTTGGAGAGAGAAGTGTTGCGCAGGTTGTCGTGTGTTGCTGCAGATAGCGAGGGCGCGTGTCGGAGGAGAGGGGGGGGGGGGGGGGGGGGGGTTGATCCAGCGAAAAAAATGTAATGTTCATTGATGGAGCTCAAAGCCAAGGCGACCCCAATCGGGACGTGATTGCGGCGTCAAGACGCCGGCAACGAGCACGGATTTGCCAACAGAGCGCAGAAGGCGGGCGTGCAGGTGTGTGCGTGTGTCTGTGTGTGTGAAAGAGGGTAAAGGGAGGGTGGGGGAAGAATCGGGCACAGGATCAATCCAAAAAAAGTCCACTTCGTGCCGACCGGACACAACCGAGAAGCGGCTGCGACGACGGGCGGTCTAAGAGTCGACTTGGGAAGGGGGGGGGCGAGCGAGATGCCAGCCGGCGATCAGTCCGAGCGGAGCGACGACTTGATCGAGCCAACGAGGCGGCGGAGGAAGGAGCGGCGCGGCTCTGCGGCGGCAGCGGGAGACGAGCCGGGACTGACCTTGTCGGCAGCCGGGGCCGGAGCCGGATCCGCGTTGGTGTTGGTCGCCGGGGACAGGCTGGCGGTGGGAGCCGGGCTGGCCGCCGGGACCGGGTTGGCCGCCGGAGCGTGCGACGACGATGGCGCACCATCCGGAGTGGTGAGGGCCACGTCGGCGGCGAGGTCGGCATCGGCGGCGGCGAGGGCCTTGCATGCACGGGCAGCCATGGAGGCAAAGACCTGATCGGCGATGTAGAGGTCAAACTCGAGGTAGCCGAGGAACTCGACCTCGCACTTGTTGAGCTTTGCGAGCGGGATGCCGAGCAGGTTGGCCCAGGTTGCGTTCGAGTACACAGCGTCCTCAGCATACTTCATGCCAAGGACGAGGCATGTGACCAGCGGGCGCATGGGCTCACGGAAGCGGGTCCGGGAGTGCTTAGCGAGGAAGCGGTCGAGGTAGACGGCGGCGGAGAGGAGGGCACCCATGGAGAGCTGGGTCCGTTCGACCAGCCAGGTCAGGTTAGCCTCCAGCGAAGCTGCGCCCGAGTTGACACGCGGGCCGAGGAGGCCATCGATGATCTTGATGACGCCCGCCGACGAGATGGCGGCGAGCTCTTCGACTGAGAGGATGGCCGGCGGCGGGGCGATGGACTGCTCACGCGGGAGCTGCGGGTGCGAGCAAGGCTTGGTGTTGATGTCAAAAGTGACAGAGGAGGACGTGGACGGCGGAAGAGCCGAGTTAGACGGAACGACGGTCATGATCGGTAGGTGATGGAGGGCGAGATGCGAAAGTGGCTTCAAATTGAGGTGGTGGACGGGATGGATGGATGTGCGGGGGTTTTGGAGAGAGCGTGGGGGAGGCGGGTAGGTGTGGGTGGATGGGGGCAACCGGGTGGGTTACAGGGAGATGACCGCCATGGTGTATGGCGGGAGAGAGTGGAGTTGGGGTGGGGAAGGGGTGGTTGAAGGGTGGGTGGGAGGGGGTAGGTGGCGAGTGGGAAGGGTGGGTGGGTGGCGGAGGAGGGCTGGCGGCAGAGAAACTACCAAAGCCGTCCGTAGCAGAACAGAGGGGGGGAGGGGACGAACTCGAGCTGTGGAAGGCGTCGAGGACGTGGACAGATGACCCTTCAAGGTGCGGGAGGGAAGGCACCAAGGAGGGGTTTTAGTCACTAACCTTGCGAAGGCCGAGAAACGGTTCGCAAGAAAGAAGAGGTGGACAGAGCCGTGCGGAGCAAGAGCAGTGTGCCGGTGCGGGTGAGGAGCTGGGATGACGGCTCGTCTGAGCTGGCGGGCGTGCGGAGTTTTATTGTCGCTCCTCGTGCCAAGCTTCGATTCGAACGTTTGCCGGGGCGTGCCGTGTGCATCGCACGCCCTCTGCCCGCGATGGGTGCACAGATGGAGGAGAACGGTTGTAGATCAAGTGTGTGGGTAGTCTATGTTGTGGGTAGGGGGTGTGGGGATGTGTGGACCGCTTAGAGGTGGAATGCGGTGATGGGGATGGTTGCGGGAGAGGGTGGCCTCCGCCACGTCGATGCGGCGGAGGAGAGCGAGGAGGAGGTGGCGGAGGGAGGAGGTGGCGGAGAGGGCGATGGGGGCGATGTGGACATCTTGCCCCTTGTCAGACCTTCCTTGCCACGAGGCCATGCTTGAAAAGTAGAAGAACGGCGTGGCGGGCGCGTCTGGCTTGTAGAGGCAGATGACGGTCATGGCCTCGGCGTTGAAGTCCTCGCCAACGAAAATTGGCAGTCGGAGATGTTGGCGAGGACCGACTTGGCAAACAGCGGCGCGCGCTTGACAAACTGGTCGACCTCGTCGGGCCGATTGGCCTCGAGGAAAGCTCGGACCCGGCGCATGTAGCCCTTAAAGTAGAGCCGGTAGGTAGAGCGGTCGTAGAACGTCTCCTGCAGTTTGAACATGTGCACAACATCGATGGCCGAGACCGAGTTGGTGTCGGCAACCGTGTCAGCATCGTCATCAACATCAGCACCGGCGTCAGCGCCTGCAACCCAGGTCTGCACACGAGCACCGGCATCCGCGGCGACAGCCGAGCCGGCATCAGCGCCAGTCTCGGCATTGCCATCGCTTGCATCCCCAGCGACGCCGTCCGCAACCGTAATCCACTTGCCCTCGACCTCGTACACACATCCATCAACCTCGGTCAGCTTGAACGCATCCGATACCAGCTCCGCGTCTACCGTGCCGTGACGTGTTCTCCCTGTAAGTGCGTGTTGTGTGTGTGTGGGGTTGAGAGGGGTTGGGAGGGGGGGGGGGGCGGGGGGAGGGGGGGGAGGCGTACTTGAGAGGCAGTCGTGGTATATGATCATTCGTGTGTGTATGTATGTATATGTGTGTGTGTATCTGTATGTGTGTGTGTGTGTGTGTGTGTGTGTGTGTGTGTGTTGGTGGTGTGGTGGTGTGCGTGTGGGTCTTCGTCGTCGGTGGGTGGTGGTCGGCAAGTCGGCGGCGGTCGGTCGGTGGGCGACACTCGGTTCGCTGGTCAACATTGCTCTTTGGGGGGGAAAGGGAGCACGGCAGAGAGAGCGAGTAGGCATGGGCAAGCCAAAGGTGACGCGGTTCCTGCAGTCTGCATACACTATGATATCTACATGTACCTCTGGTGTGGTAGGCTGGTCAGACGAACCCGAGGAAGGCATCGGCTTTGAGGGCTACATCGAGCTGTCTGACCCTGCCGCAGCCGCAACTGAGCTGCGCAAGTACTACAAGCACGGCAATGTGGGCTCCTTCTCCCGCCAGCTGAACATGGTATGTCCCCTGCTCTCCGCCCCTTCCCTTCCATCCCCCCTTCTCCCTCCCTCTCATACTATGTATCCATCCCCTTTGCCCCCCCCCCCCCCCGTCCTCCCCTCTCCCCCCTTTATCCCCCCCCTCCCTCCCCTCGTGCCAGTCGCCATGTGGCTCGAGCGAAAGCCTCGCTGGCCCAATCCCGCAGAACGTTTTTGTTGCGTTTTCAGTTGTTCCGTCACCCGCTGGCCGGCAGGCAGCCTCCTGTGTGGCGTGTAAGACATAGAGAGTACGGACGTTGAATGCGTTGAATGCGTTGAATGCTGGTGTGGTACTCATGTGGGGCATGGTGCGCTTGGTGGACGCCATGGTTGTGGTTGGGCGGGCATGCGGTGGTTGGGCGGGCACGTGTTGGTAGTACTCGTTCAAGACGCGAAAGCAAGACAATCGGCTTTGGTTCCATCACGTCAACTTTCAGCCCGATGCCAAGGACAGACTCGCGCTCATCTCACGCAAGCCGGTCTACTATCCGGCGGACAAGCGCAAGGGCAAGGGCTCCGAGTCGGCATCGGGTACGTCGGCTGGGAAAGAGTCTGCCAAGCGTTCGGCGAGCAATAAGTCGGCGAGCAAGCGATCGGTGTCATCTGCTAGTCGAGCGCCGCAGGCAGGGCGGTCGTCGGCATCGATTGCGTCGAGTAATGCTGCTACCGGCATGGCGGCGGCAGAAGCAGTGGCGACAGCGCGGTCGGGGTCGGCGCAGGCGGTCAAGTCTAGCCCGCCGCGGAGCAACGCGGCGCCGCGTGGCCCGGTGTCCAAGGCCGAGGTCGAGGCATCGTCGGTTCTGCTGGCGGTCTCCAACTCGCGGCCGATGTCGCAACCCGGGTCGCGGACCAACTCGCGGCCGACAAGCCCATCCGTGAGTGCCATGGTCAACACGACGACGATGGCGATGGCCAGTGCGGCAGCAGCGGTGGCGCACGCCGGGCTGATGGCGATGCGCAAGCGGAAGCACGGGGCCGGGCCGGGCGCGCCCGGTGGCGGCTCGCCGCGGTCGTCGCCGCGAGCTTCGCCGCGGCTCCCGTTTGCCTCGCCACCACACTGGGATGCGGCAGGCACGCCCGGCCACTCGGGCTTTACCTCGCCGGCACCCGATCACTACCCAGGCGTGATGCGGTCGCCCGGCGGCGGGTTCCTCAACCTCACGCAGGAGGCATTTTCGCGGTTCTCGCCGTCGCTTGTCGAGCCGCAGCGTCCGGACGCGCTCGACCACAACCTCCAGTTTGACATCATGGCCAAGCGGTTCTACGTTCAGCTTCTCCGGTCACTCTACCGGGTCCGCGACGACCTGTACGGCGGCCTCGTCTTTTCGCAGAAGATCGGCAACCGCGAGTATGTCATTCGTGTGACCGACAAGCTGCCTGCGCCCATTGAGCCGGTCATGGGCGAATTTATCATTGTCGACTCGTCGCTCGAGCCGGTTGCGCCGCCATCGACAGGCTCATCGACGGCGTCGATGTTCTCACCGCTCTCCACCACTGGCTCGTCGGGCCCGGGCACTGTGAGCGAGTTCTCGGGCGTCCCGTTGGAGCCACCGTTCGGTGTGTCGTACACCACAGCGATTGGCCTGTCGTCGTCGCTGGACCACGGCTCGCCACACGCCCAGTCGCAGCCGGCACCAACCGACATCTCGGGCCTGGCCCAGGCTGTGGAGGCCTCGCCAGGCTCGCGGACGCGCCGGCTCTCGCTCCCACGGCTCGACACCTCGGTCCACCCGACCGCCAAGCGCCGCAAGCTCCTCTCGTCCGGCGGACCGCAGCTCCTTGCCCGCGAAGTCGCCCCGCGTATCAAGCACATCCCATGGGGTCCACCGCGTCGCTGGCGCTCGCTCACCGGGCTCGCCGTCGAGCACTCGTCGTGCACCCGTGTGGACAAGATGGTCAAGTACGTGGCGTTCCGGCATACTCGCGACCCATCGTTCATCCTCTACCATCCGGTCCCATACAACCCACAGGCGACCGCTGCACAGCTCTCGCGCGACCTGGCCAACATCGACTCGCTCGATGTCGAGGCCGAACAGACCTCGGCCGGGACCGTCAAGAATCTTGCCCGCATGAACCGCGGCGCTGCTGCCCTCGCTGCTGCCATCAACAACCGCCTCGAGCGCCAGAAGCGCTTGCGTCTTCAGCCCGCTGCCGCCGCAACCACCGCCTTCCGCACATCGCCGCTCAAGCCGGTCATCGCTGGACCCCCAGCGGCGGCAACTCGCACCAGACCCTACAGGCCGCCGCCGTCACCATCCAGCACCACCAGCAGCAGCTGCTGGCGCGGAGCCAGGCGGCGGCATCATCGCAGCAGCAGCAGCAGCGCATGATGGAGATGCAGGCGCAGGCCGAGCTGGCGAGTGCCGGCCCGATGCCTCCGCCTCCGCCCCCACCAGCGTCGGCGTCGGGTGAGTCGCAGACCACCAGCACGCAGGCAGCCGCCGGATCCGGCTACGGCCTCGCGCCCCTCGTTGTCCCCAACGCCGGATCGACGGCGCTCTTTGGCCAGGGCTCGACGTACCTCCTTTCGCCCACACCCGAAGCGGTTTCGGCCCTTGCCCAGCGACACGGCCTCGACACCGGCTCGATCTTCTCGGTAGCTGGCATGGTGGCAGCCCCGCTCCGCGATGCTATTTCCCCCAACACCGGCGGCGGGGCTGGTAGCGGAACCGGGCCGAGTCCCGGACCACAGCATCAAACGGCATGATATGATGAGCGTGGGTGCGGGCGCAATCGCGCACCAGGAAGCGGAGAGAGGGGCGGGGGCGGGGGGCGGAGCACTTGACGCGGCGCACTGGCATGCTTGTTTACGTATGTGTTGGAGAGCGTATGTGTGGCCACGGGTGCCTGGCGTAGGGCGGGGGTGTAAGGTGACAGCGGACTCACCTGCAGGTGTTGTGGTTGGGTGGGGCGGGCGGGCGGTGGTGGTTGCGTGCCTGCGGGCGGGCTGGTGTGGGCGGGCCGGGCCGGGCCGGGCATGAAAAGGTCCATCTCGACGGCGCCACGTATCCTGTAGAGACTGGGACGGGAGTTCAGGCGGTGCGGTGGTTGGCAAACGTGGCTATGGCTCGGCATGGTGGTGATCGTGGGGCACGGCTGGGCGAGCCGGTGGAGATGCGGATGGAGACTGTTGACGGCCCGCACCTGGATGCTAGCGAGGCCATCATGGCCTCGCAGCTGCACGACGAGGCCCACGTTTGGGTTCTCTTTGCATCGCACTTTGATTGATGGCGTTCGCGAGAAGCGTACTCGCCTTTATAGGCTGGCCGTTGTGGAGAGTGTGACGCCGCCGCCGTTGACGGGCGTGACGACGATGTCTGCCATGGAGGCGACGAGGATGTCAGCTTGGAAGCGCGAGATGTCACCGCTAGGCTCGGGCACGACGCCGACAACAAAGCACCCGGCAAGCTTACCGGCCTGCATGCCTGCCTCCGAGTCCTCAAACACGACACAGGTGGTAGGATCGAGGCCAAGGCGCTTGGCGCCAAGCAGGAAGATGTCCGGCGCCGGCTTGCCGTTCTTCAGCTCGGCGTCGTCGCCGCACACCCGTGCCGAGAACAATGAAAACATGTCAGCCTTGGTCGACTCCTTGACCGCCACCGACGAGGCCTTGGACGAGGTGCAGAGGGACATCGGGACGCCTGCGTCGCGGAAGGCGGCCATGAGCTCGAGCGCGCCCGGCATGACAGCGGCGGTCGGCGTCAGCTTGGCCATGGCTGCGTCCCAGCCGGCCACGATCTCTTTGGGCGTGACCTTACCCTCGAGCTCAAAGACCTTGACCAGGTATGCCGACCAGTCCGGCGCCGCCGTGCCGACGATGGTGTTCTTGACGGCCACGTTCATGGCTGCACCGTGCGGCTCGAGCACCTGGTTGAGGGCAATGTCCGACAGCGGCTCGGTATCGAGCAGCGTGCCATCCAGATCCAGCAAAGCGCATAAAGAGTAGGGGAAGTAGTCTCGGCCATGGTGCGTCAATGCGGGGTGGCTGCGTCGGCGTAGCTGGAGGTGACGTGTGGCTGTCGGTCAGCGGTCCAGGGCTTGAGTCTGGCAAGCTGACATTTTGTCGCTCCCGCATCCTACGTGGCATCGACGACTGCTTCCACTCAAATGCGGTGCCGATGGGATTTCTCCGCAGGTAGCCCCCCGCACTGGGCGTACCGATGTGTGATGATGTGGCTCTGGGTCTGGCCAGGTTGAGTGGAGCTGGATGTTGGTGAGGGGTGCTGGCGACGCGATCAAGAAGACGAACGGACTGGCCCCCGTCGCGGGAGCATGTGGCCGACGTCAGTGAAAGGGCACAGAAGAGCATCGAGGGCCTCTGGCAAACGCTCGGAGCCCGCTGCGTGGCTGGACGTGGGTGTTGGACCGAGCCAGAGTCGGCACCGGACAGGTTTCTTTGGACGTTGACAAGTAGCATGTGTGACAAGCCCATGCTTACATGGCACGAGTGGCTAATGGTCTGCGTGTCGATCCTCCCCCCCTCTCTCCCTCCCTTCTCCTTCCCCCGCAGACCAACCCAAGTTCAACTCACGTCTCCAACCGTAACCATGATGGCTAGCCAGTCTGGGCGCGGAGACATGGATGACACGTCGGGAAGTGCGACACTTCCAGCGGAGCGGCTGCTCTCCACGCCGCTTGACAACCTTCTGGCGGCCTCTTTCGTGGCCGCTTTCCCCTCGGTTTCTTCTTCTTTTTCGGCTGCGGCCGAGTCGGGAGCCACGCCGTCGAGCAGCGGTGGCGTGTCTAGAAGCGAAGGTGGTGGCGGGGAGAATGGTGGCGGGGAGAATGGTGGCGGCGATGAGGATGATGGTGGTGACGTTGTGCCCATTGGGGCTCTGGCGTCACAGGTGGCGACCGAGTCTGCGCATGGCTACCTGGCGTGTGGGCTTGGGGCCGGACTCGAGTCGAGCGACCACGCGGTGCAGGCGCGGCTGGCGGTGCTCTCGCGCGAGCTGACGGCGCTGGCGGACGGGTCGCACTCGCTGCGGTCGTCGTACGAGGTACTGGCGTCGAAGCGGGCGGCGGTGCTTGCTGCGCTGTATCGCGCATACCGCTCGGAGGCCAAGTCGCGGAACAGCAAGTCGTACCAGTCGCTGGCGGTGGCGAGCCGCGGAAGGGCAGCGACGATGCTCGCGCGCGACGCGCTTGACGTCGGGGTGCGGCTGCTTTTGGGCCTGCTGCGGCAGGCGGCTCCAGGCGCGCCCGAGCTCTGCGCCGACGCGCTTGCCCTGCTCAAGACAAAGCTGGCGAGCGTGCCGGCGGCGGCGTACGGCGATAAGCTGTTCGAGGGCTCGGACGTGGCGCTCGACGCACTGGCGCAGGCCGCCGTCGAAATGGTGACGAGCATGCCGACACCGCAGCTGGCGTTGGACGCTCTGGAGACGCTGGTGGCACTCGCGGTTGCGCGCGGCTCGCTCACCTCGATGCTGGACGCGCTGCAGGCGCTCATTGACCCACCGGCGGGGCTTGGTGGCGCCGACCTGGCGCTGGCAGTCACACCGTCGCTCCGCAAGCTCGCGGCGCGGGTGCGGCCAATCTCGTTTGAGTTTCCGGGCAAGGGCGTCTCGCCAATGGCAGTTTCGCCAGGCGTTGCACCGGCGGCGGCGGCGGCGCAAAACATCGGCCCGTGGCTCGCGGTCACGCCCGGCAGCGAGTCGGTTGTTGTGGCTTCGGGCGCAGTGCTTACCGGCTGTGCGCTGACGGCATCGATGGGCAAGGTCGATGCCGGCGAGTCAGTCACTGTTGGCGTTGGTAGCAACGGCGGCGACAGCGACAGCGACGGCAACAGCAGCGCTCGACTCTCGCTCGCAGCGATGGATGGCCGGCTGCTCGCGGCGTCGACCGCCCACGGCCCGCGAACCTTTGTCGAGCTTGACCCGGTTTCTCTCGCGGTTGTGGGCGAGCTGGTGGTGCCAGCCAGTGGCGAGGACGAGGAGAAGGGCACCGACGAGGCGGATGGCCCCAAGCCGGATGTTCTTCTCGTGTCGGATGGTACGCTCGGGACAGTTGTGACGACGTTGCCAGCGGGCGAGTCGAGTGACGAAGTCATGCTTCATGTGTCAGACCTCGACGTCCGACCGACCGACGGCCCGACGCTCGAGCCAGCGTTTGATGGCGAGCCGCTGGCCATCAAGCTGGCGGCAGGCGAGCTGCCGTCCAAAGTGCTTCAGCTCGGCAAGCCGAGCGAGAGCAGTGGATTCGGCAGCGCTAGCGGCGGGTTTGGCGGCGGCGGATTTGGCGGTGGCGGATTTGGCGGCGGCGGGTTTGGTGGCGGCGGCGGGTTTGGCGGCGGCGGCGGATTTGGCGGTGGCGGGTTTGGCAGCGGTGGCGGGTTTGATGGCGGCGGCAGAAGCACCAACAGTCTCGTATCGACCGGCTCGATCACACTTGCGACTGGCAAGCCAGGCTCAACGCTTGACATCGGACAGGAGATGACGCTGGAGGCCGACATCGATATCACGGGATGCACTGGCGCTGTCATGCTGTTTTCTGCGGTCGATCCAGAGACTTCAGATCTTGCGCTAGCGGTGATGATCGACAGCTCGTCGCAGATCACGGTGGCATACAAGCCAGCGTCGAACTCGGTGGGAGGCCCAACGCAGGGGTCTATTTCCCACGAGTCAATCTGGATGCAGGCCGACAAGCCAGGTTGGATCCACATCTCGATTTCGATCGGGCCAAGCCTCTTTGTAGCGATGCTCAACCAGAACATGGGCCAGCGATGGATTTCGCCCATCGCCCTCTCGCCAGGGCTCAAGTGGGCGTTTGGCGCGCCGATGCAGGGTGCAAACGGCTTCTGTGGCGCAGTCCGCGCGCTGCGGATCTGGTCTGTGGCGATGCCAGCGGCGCGGCTGCGGATGCTCGGACAGGAAGAAACGACTGGCAAGGAGGCAGACCTTGTCGGATACTGGCCGCTTGATGAGGGCATTGGAAACCGGGCGCTCAACCTTGCGGCAGAGGCTGGGACGCACATGGCTATTGTCCACAACGGCGAGTGGCTGGATTCCAAGATTCCGCGGGTGGCCGCCGTGCCGCGGGCGTCGACCCGGACGCTGCCGCTCATCCTACCAAGGACCGCGATGTCATCGATCGGGCTGGCAAGCAACGGCGAGTCGCTGCTGGTCATCTACCCGCGTGAGGTGGCGTACGAAGCTTTTCGGCACTCGGGCTCTGCCATGGTGGATGTCTACTCGCTCAAGGACGGAAGTCTATGCGACCGCCAGACACTCGACGCCGAGATCGGCGACGTCAACGCAGCAACGTTTTCAGCTGACGGCAAGTTGCTTTTCACGTACACAAGCGAGTCGCGGACGGTGACCTCGTTCTCAGTGGCTGGGCCAAAGTCGACCCGGGCGATGCGGCTCGACGTAGCGTCGGCGGTTGCACGCGGCGACGCCGTCGCAGCGGGGATGGACGAGGTCGATGTCTCGGACGCGACCGCTGTCGTGGCGAGCTTTCCGCTGCCAGCGTACTCAAACGAAGACCTGGAGATTGCGGCGTCGGATGTACTTGACAGCCTGGCGACTGTTCCGCAGGATCATGTGGCAGTCCATCTGCTCGGCCAGCTTGCGGCCGAGCTGGGGTGGCTCCCGGAGAGCCCCGACCTGATTGCACCGGCCAACTTTCGCATCGATTCAGTGGTCGAGCTCTCGGGCAAGACCTTCCGCCAGCTGCTGAGCTTGCTCGAGCACCTCGCGGAGCAGTACCACGACAGCGCCGAGGCGTCTCGCGGCAACATGTTTGCGCTTCTCACGCTCATGCGGGTGCTGCGGGCCAACCTCGCGCACCTTGTGGCGTGGAACGTTTCGCCGGAAGACTGTGGTTTTGTTTCGGACGTGCCGCCCGCGGCCAAGGCGGCAGCGGCAGCGGCCGAGGGCAAGCTCTCGTTTGCGGCGCGGACGCTGCCGGTCTCAGCCGACGAGGCAGCGAGTGCAACGGACATGCGGGCGCGGTACATTGCTCTGCTCAACGGCTTTGTGGCGTCACCAGCGGGCAATCCGGTGGCGAGCTTGGTCTCGAAGCCGCTCCTCACCGAGGTCTGTGATGCGCTCTCGATTGGCCTGCCGCTGTTCTGTGTCGAGCCGGAAGAGCGCGTCGCTGAGCTGCAGTCGCTTGTGGCCGAGGTGCTCGCGGCCGGGGCGGACGCGGATCCGCTCCGGGTCCTGCTACTTGAGCGATACTTTGTGACGCTTGCCAAGCCAGCGTCACTCCTAGCACTTGTGCCAACGCTCATCAGCGGTGAATCTGGCTCGGGAAGCAAGCTCCTCGCAGCTGTGGTCACGCTTGTGGTTCAGGATACTGAGGCGCGGCTTCTGTCGCTGTCGGCAGCGGCGCGGCGAGACGAGCTCGACCGGACCCAGCTAGAGGCGCATTCGAGCCCACATGCGAGCATGGTTGCTGCCGGCCTTCCCTTCCTCACTAACTTGCAAATGGCACTGCTTGCGGCGGCGGCGAGCGAGGCCCACGCCGAGGATCGGCCAACCACACAGTTTGTGCTTGACTATGTCGAGCAACTGTGCGGGTCAGCCGGCGAGCTGCTCACGTTTACGCTCGAACAAGCGCTTGGCGCGGCAGGTGCCTTTGCGCCAGGCAGCAAGACCGAGCTCAAGCTTGCAGTGTGGACGGTGCTGGAGACGTCGATTGGAACTGTTCTTCTCCCGCTGTTTGCTGGGCTCTGGAACGCTTCGCTTGAGCTGGAAGCTGCTGGCAAGCTTCTCCCACCAGTTGTTGCGCTGCTTCAGGCTGTCGATGCGCTGACGAAGGACTTGCCGGACGTGGTTGTGGCGGAGCATGACAACAACGCAGGCAATGTGAGCGTGTCAGCCGAGGAAAAGAGTGCGCGGGTTGCGTACCCGGCCGCGGCCGGGGTGGCGATCCCGACCGGACGGAGCGAGCACGTACTGAACATTCCAGATGCGACGTCGATGCGGATCAGCATCGACCGGCTGGATCCGAATGGCACGCTCTCGATCTACCTGGCACCCAACCAGGAGTCACCTGTGGACGAGTCGCTCCGTGCCGGAGGCACAGTTGCTGTGCAGTCGTCGACGGTGTACCTGGTGTACGACTCGGGGTACTCGGGCATCACCGGCTTTGCGGTGACAGCTCGGGCAACGATCCACGAGCGGCAGGACATGCTACCGTGGCTGCTTGATTTGGAGAAGGCGATTGCCACGTTTGCGGCGCAGTGCGCGGCGCTTGTTACATCCGGCGTGCCGAGCTCGGAGGCCGAGGTCGAAGTCGGGCGCACGCTGCTTTCGTCAGACTTGCTGGCTGGCGGCGAGATGGTTCCAGACGCGTCACCGGATGGCGAGCTGGAGCAGCTCGAGTGGTTCCCGACCGAGTTATTTGCGAACGGCAAGAGCCTGCGGGCGCTACTGGCACCGGCGGCGAGCTCGACACTCGGCGCGCGGTCAAAGCAGGAGGAGGCGTTGGTGAGCGGCCTGCTGAGCGAGAAGCCCGACGCCGAGACGAGCGCCGTGCTTGCGGCGCTGGACGCATCGGTGACGATTCCGCCGTTTCCGGTTCCTGCTGCTGTACGGGATGTGGTGGCTCTCGCGGTGCGAGCTGTATTTGCTGCCGCCGTCCACCACGCTGGTGCCATGGAGGAGATTCTGGACGTTGTCGAGGAGCTGGCTGGCGGCAAGGCCGATGTGGAGATTCCTTCGACAGTGACTTGGCTCTATGTGAGGGCACACCGACTCCGGCGATGGCTCCTGGACCAGTTCCAGCTGGAGCAGTCCAAGCTGGCACAGCCCGAGGCCGAAGTGTCGGATGAGTCTGACGACGGCGCTGACATAGGCGGCGATGCCGCTGAAGCCGAGAGCCAGGATGGCGGCGAGACCAGAGCTAAGGGCAATGCCGAAGCCGGCGGCAGCAACAAGGGCGAGGCGGCTCTGCCATCGCCATTTTCCTCCCGCGAAACCGGGTATGCGGAGCTGTGCTCGAGAGTTATGGCGCGGTCAAAGTTCCTACTCTCACTCTACTCTGCCGTCGACATTCTGCCGGACCTTGACGCGCCGTCGATGGGCGAGGCGCTTCTGGTGCGACAGCAGTCGCGCGAGGACGCGGTGCGAGAGGGTGTGTCGGAGGCACAGCGCGAGGCGCGGTCTACGCTGCTGGCGTGGAAGTCTGTGCAGGGAGAGGCGACGCTGCGGACGGCTGCGCCCGAGGAGCGGTCGGCGATTCTGTGGCGACTCATTCTCGGCTTTATGTCGACCGAGGTTGAGCTGGATAAGGTGCGTGCGGCGCTTGCGGCTCGGCGACACCGGGCACGGCTGCGCAAGCTGGGGCTTGACGCGTTTTCGCGGCTGCTCGACGCTGTGAGCCTCGCAAGCGTCAAGCGCGAGGTGGTGCGGTGCATTGTGCCCGCGCTCTCGCGGCGGAAGGCCGACGCGCGACTGGGGCTTGCCCCGGATGTGATGGGCATGGTAACGCCTACGGGCGTGGATCTCGGCGAGGCTGTTGCAAGCGCGTTTGCAGGTCTTTACTCCAAGCTAGTGACGATGCTGGAGGCGCCGACGGTGTCGGGCGCGGATCTGCTGGCCGAGACGCTGCGGACGTTCAACGTGGCCTTTGACGCCGACGTGTACCGGCGACTTATCTCATCGGGCGTGCTAACGTCGCTGCACACGCTGCTCGAGGCGACGGCGACTGCTGACGGGGGCGAGGACGGTGGCGAGTCGTACCAGATGGCGTCATGGGCGCTGCTTGATGTCATCATCACGACCATCATTCAGCACTCGAACGAGCTCGGAGCACTGTTTGCGGACGCCAACGTCATGGTGCCGCTGCTTGGGATTCTCTCGTCGCAGCTGAACAAGGCAGCAAGCGCGGCAGTCGAGTCCACCAAGAGCTTTGACGACTTTACACCGCTGCTGGTGACGGCAAAGGGCCTGCCAAATGCTGCGGATGGAGTGCAGGCCGAGGGGTTTCGAGTTTTGGCAGTCTCTTTGACGAAAAGATTGGCATGTCGTTCGCTTCGCCGATGGCGGCTGCAGACGCTGGCGGCAACGGCGAGCAGCCGGGCAGCGCTAATGTGGCAGCTGGGGGATTCAGAGCGCGACCTGATTTGTTGCACCCTACACAGCCAAGCGCAGGCGTGGCGGGTCCAGGACCGCGCAGTAAGTCCATGGTCGCTTCGCGCGACATGGATGAGGGTAAGCGGCTCCGCAGTGTGCTCTCATACCAGACGGACGCCAGTTTTGACGATGCAGTGCAGGTCAAGTTGCTCGGGTTGCTGTATTCGATGGTCCACTGGCCTGTGGCGCGGAGCCGTCTGCATTCTGACCAGCTCCTCACCTCGCTGTTCACGATGCTCAAGGCCGGAAGCGGGCGAATGCGGTTTGTGGTGACGCGGACGCTGCGGCACCTGCTTGCGGCCGAGAGTGCGCCGGATGCCAAGCTGGTTGACGCGGCGGCTGTGCGCGCAGAACGCGAGCTTGCTGCCGACTCGTGCTCACAGAGCTTGGGCGAGTACCTGCTGGTGTCGATTGGGCAGGCGCTGAGTGCACCGGCGCTAGTGGCGGCCAATCGGAAGAGTGGGGCGTTTTCGCGTGTCGGTGGCGTGCCGCTGCGGACGCTGCACTCTGCCGAGTCGCTGCATTCGTGGTCGGAGGGAGTGTACCTCGTGCGGCATCTTGTGAAGCGGGCGCCGCGGATCGGGAGCCGGATTGCAGGTGAGGTGGCTGCTGGACTTGCACACATGACGAGTGCGGTTCGGTTGTGCGCGGAGCTGGAGGCCGGGCATGATCTCGAGTCACTTGGCGCGGCCGACTGGCAGGTGGTGTGGCACGCGCTGGGAGCACTCGCTGTTGCGGGTGGGTATGCCGAGACGTTCCGGGCCGGGGCGCGGATCTCGTCACCGATCTCGCACTTTTCGGGTACCATCCTCACGATGTCCCAGAGCGTGGACAAGCTCGCGATTGTTCGTGATGACGACGACGACGTGGTTGTGGTCAATGTCAACGAGCTCGAGCCGATCGACGACGTGGGGGTGAGCGTGCCAGACGATGTGCCTGGCGTAGATGTCAGGAGCCTCATTCGTGACTTGCTTGCCGTGGTCACCGTGAACGCCGGAAGCACCGAGTCGGCGCTTCTTGCTGAGCTCCGCGGGCGGGCAATGCGGTTGGTGCTTGCGCTTCTTCCGGCGGAAGGGGCAGCGGAAGAGCTTGCACAGGTTGCGGGCGTTCAGCTCCTGGCCTCGCTCGCGCTCGAAGAGGCGGCCACGGTGCCGTCGATCACCGAGCTCGAGTTCAAGGTCAACCAACTCATCAACGAGGCCACGCGGAGGATCCGAGAGGAACCAAAGATTATGGTCGAGCTGCTGACGAGCGGCGAATCGGCGAAGAAGACTGGTAGCGAGGCCGGTGGTAGTGGACCTGTGGCTGCCGGCGGTAGCGGCGGGTTCTCGTTTGGTGCTGCGCCTGCTGCGTCGGCCGAGGCGGGGAGTGGGTTCTCGTTTGGTGCTGCGCCTGAGATGTCGGCTGAGGCGGGGAGTGGGTTCTCGTTTGGTGCTGCGCCTGCTGCGCCGGCTGAGGGCAGCGGCGGGTTCTCGTTTGGTGCTGCGCCTGCTGCGCCGGCTGAGGCGGGGAGTGAGTTCTCGTTTGGTGCTGCGCATGAGACGTCGGCTGAGGGTAGCGGCGGATTCTCGTTTGGTGCTGCGCATGAGACGTCGGCTGAGGGTAGCGGCGGGTTCTCGTTTGGTGCTGCGCCTGCTGCGCCGGCTGAGGGCAGCGGCGGGTTCTCGTTTGGTGCTGCGCATGAGACGTCGGCTGAGGGCAGCGGCGGGTTCTCGTTTGGTGCTGCGCATGAGACGTCGGCTGAGGGCAGCGGCGGGTTCTCGTTCGGTGCAGCAGAGACTGGAAGCCAGGCCAGCTCCGGCGCCGCCCCGAACTCTTCTCCAGCGAAAGAGAACGAGACTGCAGAGGCGGAGACTGAGGCGACTGCAAAGGCCGAAGACACACCTCTGGTGTTCGGTACACTGCGCCTCACGGCTGCCAAGCTTTCGATCGGGTTTGTGGTCTCGTCGATCTCGGCATCACCGACATGCACCATCTCGGGCCACCTGACATACGTTCCGCTCGACACCGAGCCGACACCGGAGCGAGTTGCTGGTGCAGTTGTTGTATTGGACGCACTGCTCGATTTCAAGGGGCGTGCGGCAGCCGCTATTGAGGCTGGCGCTGTGACAATCGTCTTTGCCACCGACGACCCTGTCGATGACGGACTGGTGTCCAACGAGACAAGCACCGAGGCAACACAGCCGCTGGCGGCTCCGGCGGTCATTGTCTCGTGCGCTGCAGCGACCAAACTGCGCGAGGTTTTGGATGAGCCGTCGAGTGAGGAGCCGTCGAAGCTTGTGAAGACCATCATGTCGCGCAAGCTCGTCGAGGAACACGGGTTCGAGCAAGCCCATGCCGATCGTGCTCTGTCGGTCACAGCCACCTCGAAGAACAACGTTGAGGTCTTCGACTTTGACGCCGCGCGCGAGTGGCTTGACGAAAACGTGTCGTGGATGCGCGAGCAAGATGCAATGCTCAACGATCTGGACGCACCAGCAGCAAAGCCCTCGCGTAAGGGCAAGGAGGAAGCGCTACCTGAGCCGGCCAAGGACACTGTCGCCGACACAGCTGACGACGGGTCCGCGGAGTGTCTGGCCAATGGTCTTGTCACCTCGCGTGAGCTGCAGCCCGGCCTGGGCGCTCTTGCTGATGCGTGGCAGGCGATTGGCGGCGGGCAGGGTGCTATCGCCTCACTGCGGGCCTCGCTTGCAGATGGAAGCTCGTTCCACTCGAGTGGCTTTAACTTTGGTGGGCCTCGACCTGCACAGCTTACCGCCGAGCTTAGTACCGATGACGGAGCGAAGGCCGGCGTGAACCACGGAATGTCACGAATGACAAGCTACGTCACCGTCCTCCGCATGACACCGCTCTCGATTGTCCTCGCCGAGCTCGCCGCTGTGCAAAAGCAGGTCGTCGCACACTTTGCCACGCGCGCCCTGGCCGGCGCGGTGGCGTTCTGGCCGCGCTCTCTTCCGCTGTCGAAGCTGACCGATGCCGACACGCTTGCACGGGCAATCGCGCTCGGAATGGCAGCACCGGACGTGCCTGCGCTGGCGGCCACGGTTTCATCGGCCCGTCTCCGGACGGCGCTCATCTCGACCATGCAGCTTGGCAACGATGTGGCGTCGGACACGGTCGACATTCTCAGCGCGCGGTTCCACGGTCTCCTTGATGGCGTGCTTAGTAAGGCGCCGCTCGCCACTGAGCCGCAAGTGTACGAGTCGCAACACAACTATCGGCACGGCGAGCTCAAGGCGTTTTCGATCCCGATCCCGACCAATGTCAAGACAGCGGTAATCATTGTCGATCCTCGGACCTCGCTCGACTACGATGACAACCTTGTTTTCTCGCATGGTCCGGGCCGGACCCAGAGCATCGGAACTGTGAGTGGAAACACGCCGCCCGCTTCTTTCTTTATCTTCAACCAGGCAGCGCTTACGGATTCAGAGCTGTTTGTCGAGTTTGACACAACCCGGACAGCAAGCAACCAGCCGACGCGCTACGGCTACCGGTTCACCATTGTCCCGCTCAAGATGGAGTCGAACGAGGCCGAGCCGGCGCCGGCCGCCGCAGCTGTCAGCTCCGCGCTCAACCTGCTAGACTTGCTCGTCGCCTCACGGCAGCCGGTCATCGACGCCAATATTGTAGTCAAGCTCCTCTCCGTCCTCCCGCACGTGGACTCGATTGAGGTCGCCGAGGAGACTTGCCGAGCGGCGGCAGCGCTCTTCCGCCAATGGTCGTCTGTTTTCAACACGGCAGCCGCCGACGAGTCCGCCCGTGCAACACTTCCGGAGCTGATTGACGAGCTTGAGGTTGCCTACGCCGTGCTCGCTCGCCGCAAGGCCATCCAGTGTGTGCCGGACCGTGTGCCGTCGGCCCACGTCCAGGCGCTCCTTGAGCTTCTCATTGTTGCGCGCCACGTCTTTCCGGCCGCTCCCGACTTTGACGCTGACGACGTCGCCGCGACTACCATTCGCGCCGCCGCCGCCGCCGCCGCCAAAGCCGAGGCGGAGTCTAATGACAATGCCAAGACAGAGGCGGAAGCCGAGGAGGCTGAAGATGTCCAGCCGCTCGCACCGCTTCGCCCTGATCTCGAAGATGTAATCTCGCGCGAGGTGGCGCTCGAGAGCCGCGGCGTGCCATCAGTCACCGACGCGCTGCTGTACAAGGTCGCGCGCCATGGCTTCCGCAATGTCTCGCTTGTAGACATCGATCGGTCGACGATCACGCCGAGCCTCCGGATTGCTGCCGAGAAAGAAGTTCCGGCCGCCATTATGCAGGCGAGTAGCGGGTTTGGCTTCTCACAGGCGGCGGCGTCGATGCGCTGCTTCATGGGTGACGTGTCTGTGAGCGCTGGCAAGTGGACGTTTGAGGTCTCGATCTTCAACGGGTCTCAGCCATTTTTGATTGGCTGGGCTACGCAGGCGTGGGGCCGGGTGTCGGAACAGTTGCGCTCGGGCCACGCCGTTTCGGCCATTGTGCAGACGCACTCGATCTACGCCGAGTCGAGCATGCCTGGCGCGGTCAACCCCGGGGTGCACTTCAACGTACCGTACATGTCGACGGCAGTGCCGGCCAAGTTTGAGGATATCAAGCGTGACGAGGGCAAGGTTCCAGTCTACACTGTCCGCGTGTTCCTCGATGCCGACGCGGGCTTGTTCTCGCTCATGGCTCAGGGCGTGGCCGCACCACCGGCGATGGTGACGTCCATCCCGATTGGCAGCGGGTTGCATCCGATTGTAGGCGTTCCGAACATGACAGAGGCTGTCGTCAACTTTGGCGCGTCGCCATGGGCCCACGAGGTGACCGACGCCAACTTTGCCGACTACCTCCCGCTCCATGACGCACGGCTGGACGCGCCGAGCCGGCTAGACCAGTTCCAGCTGGCGTCGTCGGTGGCTACGGCGGTCGCAGCGCGGACAACAATCGACGCCAAGCTGGTCGAAGCGGCACTTGCACGAGAGATTTCGGACGAGCCGAACGCGCTAGCGTTTGAAGCCGTCGACGACGAGGCTGGCCAAAAGCGTTCCGGAAGTAAGCGCAGGGCAACCGGATCCGGGTCATCGCCGTCGCCGTCACCGTCGCTTTTTGGCCAGCCGCAGTTCAGCCAGCCGTCTACCTCGCTCTTTGGTAGCACGGCGACGTCCTCGCCATGGGGTGGTTCGTATGGAAGCGCTGCACACAGTTCCTCGACTTGGGGCGCCAGTACTCACGTCACTAGCTCGGGCACGCCGTTTGGTATGTCGTTGACCTCGACCTCTGGCGACGCGCTGCTGTCGACAGACCCGAATAGGTACTTTTTCACCAGCGAGCGCAGCAACGTCAATCTTGTGTTTGCGGCCAAGACGGTATCAGGAAGCGGCGAGGGCGAGCGTCCTGGCAGCAGCGAGTCACAGGTTGTGCTCTCAGAGGTGGTACTGACCAATGTCGCCGACATGGCACGCAGTAGCGGCAAATCGAGTGGATTCGGGTTTGGCGGAGGATTTGGGTCAAGCAGCAGCAGCAGCAGTAGCAGCCATGCACAGCATGCAGTTGTGTCAGGCCTTGTCTTTGTCTGCCGCGAGAAGCCCAAGCTCGCGGCATTTTCATGGTGCGATGGCTTTACGGCCAAGCAGTATGCCAAGGTGGCGGAGCGGCGTGTGGCAAGCTCGGCGGCGGCGCGCGACCATGAGCCGGTGGCCATGTTCACATTCGGTGGCAAGTCACGGACTACAAGCGTCAAGTTTGAGACGCCGCTTCCGGGCTCGTACGTGGTGATCAAGTTGTTGAGCTCCAAGTCGAACGCAGGCATGTCGCTGGCATCTGTGGTGTTCAAGGGCTACGTGGCCGACCACCCACTGGCGGAGCCGCTGGCGGCCGGCGAGCCTGCCGATGAGCTTGTCAGTAGTCTGCGGACGCGGCTTCTGGAGGCTGCGCTCGCACTTGACGCCAGCCAAGCCTGGTCACTTGAAGGTGACGCGGCGCTGGTGGCATGTGCGCAGAACCAGGCGACACATGGCGAGGCTGCTGTGGAGACGCTTGATCCACTGACGCTCGACCTCAGCGAGACGGCGCTCATCCGATTCGCGCCGCTACGCGGAGTGGCATGCGACGCGCTTGTTGCGCGGTTTGTTGTTATCAAGTACCTCAACTCGCTTGTTTCGCCGCTGCTCAAGTTTGTGGACGTGACTGATGTGCACGCACTCGAGACGGGCGGGCGCGCTGGAGCCGGCATAGAGGCGGCGCGGTGGCTCGACGAGATGGCGCTCTCGCATGTGGTGTTCAACATCCGCGTCCTTCTGTTTTTCAACACCAAGATGGAAGTGTTCAGCGAGCGACTCGAGGAGGAGCGGCGCGCTGCTGCTGCGGCGTTGAACGAGATGGACTCAAGCCGAATGGTGGTGAGTCTCAACCGGATTAAGGCGTCTGCAGCCGAGAGTGCTGCTGCGCCGGCCGCGGCAGGAAGCTCAACCGGTGCTCCTACCGTGACACAGCGTGTGGTGGACGAGCGGTGTGCAGCAAGATTTTCGGCCAGCTGTATGCGGGACTGCGGGCAGGGCCGTATGCGCGGCGCTTTGCCACCGCCAAGGCCGACCAGCAGATGTTCAAGGCCGACTTTCTGGGCGAGGGCTCGATTGACGCCGGCGGACCGTATCGCGAGGCACTGACAACCGCAGTGGCAGACCTCATGTCCGAGGTGACGCCGCTTTTCCGTCTCTCGCCGAACGGACGGACGGACGTTGGACTCAACCGTGACAAGTGGGTGCCGAACCCGGGAGCCAAGTCGTCGAGCGCGCTGGGGATGTACGAATTTGTGGGCGCACTCATGGGACTGGCGATCCGTACCAAGTTCTACATGCCGTTTGCGCTTCCGTCGCTGGTGTGGAAGGCACTACTCGGGGAGAAGCTTGTGCTCGGCGACCTCGACGCAATTGACAAGCTCACGGTGCAGGCCATGGAACAGATTGCAGCATTCTCTCGCGATGACTTTGGTGTTGTTGTCGACGAAGTTTTCACCACTCTTGACTCGGCCGGCAACGTGATTGAGCTCGAGGAGGGTGGCACGTCACGAGTTGTGACGTACGAGGACCGAACCGAGTTCACGCAGGCGGTGCTTGCGGCGCGGCTGCACGAAGCCGACGACCAGACGCGGGCGATGCGGCGTGGACTCAACTCGGTCATCCCGGCGCGGCTGCTGGCGCTGTTCTCGTGGCAGGACCTGGAGCTGCTGGTGTGTGGTCGGGTCGATATCTCGATCGAGACCCTCCGGGCTCACACGGTGTACCGCGGGGGCTACTCTGCATCGCATCCGGTCATTGCCACGTTCTGGAAGGTACTGGAGTCGTTCTCGATGGACGAGCGGGCGCTGTTCCTCAAGTTTGTGTGGGGACGGACACGTCTCCCGTTGCAGGACTCGTGGGTCCAGCAGTTTACCATCGAGGAGCTCCGCGTCCGCAAGGACGGCAAGGTCGACGACATTCTGCCAGAAGCGCACACGTGCTTCTTTATGCTCTCACTCCCGGCACAGACCAACTACGACGTGATGCGAGCCAAGCTGCTGTATGCAGTTGAGAACTGTCGGGCAGTCGACACCGACTTTTCGGTGAGCACGTCGGCCATGGGTGCGTGGCTCGATTAAAAAGTGTTGCCGCGACCGCGCATCGCTACGAGCGATGTCGAAACAACACCAGGACAACAAGTTGGGCCTCAGGTGGCAGAACTCGGATTCTGGAATACTGCAACTGTAGATTGGAGACTGTGCATGGGGGTAGTGTGTGTATGTAGTAGGGTAGTAGTGAAATCCGATTGGCCATATCTTGCAATGAGTGTGATGGGGGTTGTGTGCGGGGTCGGGCGGTCGAGGGCGTGCTCAACCGCCTAGGCAAACAAGTCGACGCGAAAGTGAGCCGCGGTCGATGGGTATCGATGACAGCGATATTGATACTGGAGATAGTGTGGGATGTGTGATGACCTTGGGTGTGGTCGCGGGTTGTGTAGCTGGTGGTGGGTGGGAGCTAGGTGGTGATGAAGGTGGGCTCATCGGGCGGGTGGGCGGCGGCTTGCGGCTGGTGGTCAACGAGGCAGGGGCAGCAGAGGGAGCTGGGTCGGGGCTGGGTGGCTCGAGATTGCTGTTGGTTGGCGATTGAGCAGTATGAATAGTGATGGTTGAGGGGTGTGGGTGTCGAGGTCGGGGATGAGGATGGGGGTGAGGTAGAGCGAGGAGAGGAGGAGAAGGAGAAGGAAGAAGAAGCGGGGTGCGCGATGGGATGGTGGTGGGCATGGCCAAGGCCTTTGGGTGGGGGCTGTGGCTGGGATGATAGTGATGGTGGTGGGGTAGGGGGTGGGGGTGGTCGTTTGTGGTGACGGGTGGTAATGAGTATAGTAGGGGGGGATGAGGGGGTCGTGACGTGGGGTCGTGACGGGCGAAGGGGTGGTGGGTATGGCGATTGGGCTTGAGCATTGATGAAGGTGAGTATGATACGGCTGATGGGTGTGTGTGGGGTGTGGGCGATAGGGGCGGCGGGTACTTGGCCGGCAGAGGGAAGGCGGCGGACGTTAATTGACTTGAACGTTGAATTAATTGAAGAAAGCCGGAACGGGCATCAAACGAGACAATGACGTCCACAACAACAACCAAAGATCATACATAGCTTGCACAACACACGTATGAGTAAGCCAACAGGGACTGGACAAAGCTAGCAGGCAATGGAATGGACTCGGGTGACGTTCAGGTCGATGAGGTAGGGCGCGGTTGATCGATCAGATCTGCAGATCAGCCATGACCACAACACAACAAGGTCAACACAAAATACATTGCATACCAAACTACTGACCACGACAAACGACAACAAAGTTGAGAATCGATAGTGTAGTGAGCAAGGGCCGATGGTGGATGTGGAAGTCAACGTCAATGAAAACAGGAGAATCAAGAACAAATGAAGCATGACGAATAATGATACAAACCAACAACAAGAGCAAAGGCAATGATCAATGAGGATGCAAGTCGACTACGGTCAAGCATCAAAGGCAAAAGCAGCCAGAGCACAACATGAGGGCAGGCAAAAGCAACAACAAAGAATTTGGAACCATGAACGACAAAGAACAAAGACCATGGTCAGACAACAAGAAAAGAAACGGAAAGAATCGAATGATCAATTGACAATAATCGATGACATTCAATTGAACATCAAACAATCCAACAAGTGACGAGTGGCGAATCATGAAAATGTTGAATGACATTCATGTCACCCACCAACTCGCACATGCGACTCGGCCGAACGTGTGACACGGGCAAGTGTCAATGGGGGGATGGGGATTGTGAATCAGCATCAACGACTCAAATCACGCCCATGCACAGCCATGCACACGGTAGGGTGGAGGATGAATATGGTGGAGTGGGTGCGAATGTGGATGTGGGTCATGCATGGGATGGGTAGGGGTGGCAAGGAGGCAGTGAGTGGCAGGTGGAGTGAGTGCTAGGGTTGATGAGGCATCAGCTAGGGTTAGGGTTAGGGTTAGGGTTAGGGTTAGGGTTAGGGTTAGGGTTAGGGTTAGGGTTAGGGTTAGGGTTAGGGTTAGGGTTAGGGTTAGGGTTAGGGTTAGGGTTAGGGTTAGGGTTTGCTTTGGGTTAGGGTTAGGGTTAGGGTTAGGGTTAGGGGGCCCGTTAGGGTTAGGGT